CTTTCCCTCGGCGTGGGCGTGAATGGCAGCCGGCGGCGGCGGTGCCGCGGAAACCCTCACGGGCAGGTGGCCGGGCGGGCGAACGGGACGCGGTTAGGCCGCATCGAAGAAGAGAAGCGTGTCGTAGGTGGATCAGCGAAGAGAGGGAGCGAATGTGGCAGGGAGGCGGCGGTGGGTGGAACCCTAGCCGGGCTTTTTTGCGCGAGGGGGCCTCGCTCCTGGTTCGTGCGAGCGGCGGGGGCAAGAGAAATCGCTCGTACGAGCGTCTGGTTAATTTTCGTAGGTTTTCTTTCGTAGATTTTTTCACACGTTTTTTCCTGGATCAACCGCCTGGACTTCGTGGGTGCTTCACGGGTCCAGTGGGGGATCGCTGTTACCTACAAGGTGGGAGTGAGGATGAAAATAAACCAGAATTGGTGGGACGAAAATAAAATCCGGAACGCGACCTAGCAACTGAGACATTAGGAGTAGAGATTTTCCTGGATCAACCGCCTGGACTTCGTGGGTGCTTCGCGGGTCCAGTGGGGGATCGCTGTTACGTACGAGGTGGGACTGAGAACGAAAATAAACCAGAATTGGTGGGACGAAAATAAAACCCGGAACGCGACCTACCAACTGAGACATTAGGAGTAGAGATATCTCTCCCCTCCACGGGATAAGGTGGACCATTTACTTTGAGCTTGCCAAGAACACTCTTCACTCTCTCTCTCAATCACCTACGTTAAATCCTAGATCCCCAAGTGACTTAGGAGTCTTTGAGAGAAGTTCTCCGATCAAGTGATAGATCCACTCCTTCCCCTTCTTTGCACCAAAGGAATTTGTGATTTGAGCAAGTCTGGAGCTTTTCCCCAACGTTCTTATTACTCTTGGAGGTTGGAGACTCCTAGGCGGTAGGAGTCTTTCAGAGAGGAATCAACCTTTGTGATTACCCTCGGAAAGTTTGTAAGGGTTTGGAGATCACCCCAAGGTCTATCATTAGTGGTTGAGAAACGCCTCCATGGTGTTGTCTCAAAGGGATAATAGAGTGAGCCTTCGTGGCGTTGGTGTGCCTTCGTGGTAACATCCACCTCTCTAACGGTGACTAGCTTCCCTCCAAGGAAGTGAACATCGGCATGCATCCTCGTCTCCCAGAGTTGCGGTTATTCCTAACCCTGACTCTCTACTTGTGGTTACTTGTCTCTTTGCACTTACTTACATCATATTGAGGTTTCTTACTTATGTGCTTGTGTTACTTGCTTAGTATTTAGTACTCACTTGCAATTGTTAGGCTCACTTTCATATTCCGCATTATTGCCTATAATTGCTAAGGAATAATTAAAATTTGTAATTGTACCTATTCACCCCCCCTCTAGGTACATCTCGATCCTTTCACCGATGATCAAATCTCGGGCAAGTAACATACCGATGACAAAGGGAACAACGTATGTTGTTATGCGGTTTGACCGATAAAGATCTTCGTAGAATATGTGGAAGCCAATATGAGCATCCAGGTTCCTCTATTGGTTATTGACCGGAGATGTGTCTCGGCCATGTCTACATAGTTCTCAAACCCGCAGGGGCTGCACGCTTAAAGTTCGATGGCGATCAATATTATGAGTTTATGTGATTTGATGTACCAAAGGTAGTTCGGAGTCCCGAATGAGATCAGGGACATGACGAGGAGTCTCGAAATGGTCGAGACATAAAGATCGATATATTGGACGACTATATTCGGACATCGAAAATGTTCCGAGTGATTCAGGTATTTTTTGGGGTACCGGGGAGTTGCGGGAATACGAGGAAGAAGTAATGGGCCTCATTTGCCAAATGGTGGAAGAGAGGAGGTAGGACGCGCGCCCCCTAGCCCAAACCGAATTGGACTAGGGGGTCGGGCCCCCTTTCCTCCTTTTCCTCCCTCTCCTTCCTTCTCCCTCTCCTCCTTCCTTTCCTCCTCCTAGTGGGAGTAGGAAAGGGGAGTCCTACTCCTACTAGGAGGAGGACTCCTCCTGGCGCGCCCTACAGGGCCCGGCTGGCCTCCCCCCTTGCTCCTTTATATACGGGGGCAGGGGGGCACCTCTAGACACAACAATTAATCTCTTGATCTCTTAGCCATGTGCGGTGCCCCCCTCCACCATATTCCACCTCGGTAATATTGTAGCGATGCTTAGGTGAAGCCTTGCGTCGGTAGCATCATCAACACCGTCATCACGCCGTCGTGCTGACGGAACTCTCCCGCAAAGCTCTGCTGGATCGGAGTTCATGGGACGTCATCGACCTGAACGTGTGCTGAACTCGGAGGTGACATACGTTCGCTACTTGATCGGTCGGATCATGAAGACGTACGACTACATCAACCGCGTTGTGATAACGCTTCCGCTTTCGGTCTACGAGGGTACGTGGACAACACTCTCCCCTCTCGTTGCTATGCATCACCATGATCTTGCGTGTGCGTAGGATTTTTTTTGAAATTACTACGTTCCCCAACAAGAACCTTCAACATCGAAAACATCATAGAAGATGCATGTGAACTCCGTTTTCGATGAACTCGGGCTTGTCATCAAGATGACCATAAGCTCCAAAACTCACAAAGAGAACCAAACAAGAACCAATAAAGATGATGCAAGGATGCAATGGTTTGAGCTCTCTACTAATGATACGATCAAGCTACTCATCGAGAGCACCCCTTGATAGTACGACAAACGATCCTAAAACCCGGTCTCCCAACTACCACCATGAGTCCGGTAAACTAGAAAACCTATCAAGGGCAAACCTTTGCCTTGCACATGGTCCACTTGAGCTAGATGATGATGATTTTGTCCTCCTCAAGATGAACCACCTTTGTTGATTGTGTTGGGTCGATGAAGACTAGATGATTGCTCCCCCATACTCCACTATGGGTGAGCCACTCTTCGGCACATCTTCACAAGTCCATTGACACCAAAATGGACGGCAAGCTTCAAGCATTTGATATCTTCGTGATGCTCCACTTAAACTTGCACACCGCAACCTAACCCCACAAAGAACTCTCACGAATACCATGGGTTAGCATACAAAGCGTAATGGACAATGCTTACCATACCATGGGATCACTTGATCCCTTGGTACATCTTGTACGCTTCATATGTTGATCAACTTGATTCACTCTTTGACTTAGTCTTGATCAACCTCTCACAAGACCAATCTTTAGGTAATTCCTTGAATAGCACCTTGATCGACACAACCTCTCCTTGAAACCAACACATGTATTCCAAGAAAAGCCTATGGACAAAACCTTCAAATATAACTCAAGACAACCATTAGTCCATAGAGATTGTAATCAATTACCAAAACCAAACATGGGGCACCGCATGTTCTTTCACCCGGTCTTGCAGTTGTCATCCCTCACTCCATCCCGACTCTGCCGCCTCCTCCCCTATGTGGCCACTTTTTTGGTAGCAAATGGAAGTTTGAGGCACTTATATTTACCACCAAAAAGCACATTCAAAATCACAATTTAAAAGTTTTTTTTATGAATTAAGGGGTTTTCTCCCAATTTCATTTGTCCATGAAACTGGTAATACGGTATCCTTGCTAGCACCCCACAATACCATCACGCTCCAACGAAATCATTAACCTGCCTTCATATATCACATCATTATTTGTAAAGAGGACAAACATCTAGCCCCTACCTATCCAGCCATCACAAGCTCCTCTGCAAGGCTGCAAGCATCTTCGCAAAAAATTCAACCACCTAGTTTCACTACAGTAGGGGCCCCACCCTTTTATTCTGCTAAACATTTAAAAGTAATTAACACTGACAATATATCACATGCATATCATAGTCGTGTCATGTTATAGAGGGTGATTGTGACTATGTTGTATTTTGTGTTGTTATCATCACTGTTCTTCATAGATGAAATGTTTGATAGACACAAGGAACAATGAAAATATGTATAGAGCTATCCACTGCGTTTTAATACTATGGACCTCTTTGATTGGCAGAACAGTAAAAACGCGAGAATAAGAAAAACGTAGAACTGGAATGCCATGTCAAATTCTATAGGATTTGAGTTTGTTTGATTACGTCGCACGTAAAACAAAAGATTTTTTTAACACAATACATACGCAAGCACTCATACATACACACATAAACTCATCCCTATGAACGCACACACGCAGACCCTATCCCTATTAGCACCTTCGAGAGCCTAAGCCAGTATATCCTGTTGAGATTTACGAAGTCACTGTAGGCGCCTCGTCGTCGATAGGAACATCTCCTCCCACTGAAAGTATATCGTCGGAAACTCTAAAATAAGTCCAGGAATAATGCGAGCACCAAGACTTGAACATTGATGGGCTGGAATACCATTGTGCCTCTAACCATGCAACCACGGGTTGGTTCGCTAAAACAAAGATTTTTTCTAAGAGATTGGAGTGGATGCTTGATTTCGTACTAAATGATTCACTGGGAAAATTTAGGGTTCAATCATACAAATCAAACAATCACGGCATGAAAATTCCTATGAATTCAATTCCATAGAAAATCCTACAAAACCTTTGAATCAGAGAGGCCCTATAACTATATAACTAGCGACCCCATGTTTTGCTAGCAGTTTTACAAAACGTTTCATAAGTTTTTACAACTTATTTTCTTTTTTAGGAACCTCACTCAACTTTATTTAATCGTGACGCTTAAAAGGATCATTATAAGATCACGGGGATTGCTAAGCCAAACGTTTTTTCAGGTACTCCTTCGTAAAGAAATACTCCCTCCGTTCGAAAATACTTGTCATCAAAATAAATAAAAAGAGATGTATTTAGAACTAAAATACATTTAGATACATTCTTTTTTATTCATTTTGATGACAAGTATTTTCGGACGGAGGAAGTATTTTTTCTTCTAATTTACATCTAGATGTTTTTTTTAAGGATGTCACCTTACCAATGTTCAGAAAATTCCAGCCCGCCGGAACTGAACTCTTCAGGCTTTGGCGACTCCTACGAAATTCGTCGCGTTGTTGTGCAGCCGCACGGTCCATACTATGCCGACACGTCCTCCTCGGGCACGGTCAATTAACGAACTACTCCGAGTCGCCGGCCGGCCCCGCCTCCTCCCTCGAGGCGCCCTCTGCCCCAGCGGAAGCCGAGCCGAGGCGACGGCCATGGCGAGCGCCGCGCCGCCGCCACCGGACTCGGAGCCGCCCGAGTGCCCGGTGTGCCTCTCGCCCTTCGACGCCGCCTCCGTCGTGCCGCGCGTCCTTCCGTGCGGCCACTCCCTCTGCGGCTCCTGCATCTCCTCCCTCCCGCCCGCCTCCGCGTCGGCCGCGGCCTCGTCCCTCCGCTGCCCGCTCTGCTCCCAGTGCGTCCCCTTCTCCCGGGCCCTCGGCCCCTCCTCCCTCCCCAAAAACCTCGCCCTCCTCTCCCTCCTCCCATCCCTCCCCAACCCTTCCCCGCCCCGCACCGCCGGGGCCGCATCCGCCTCCGCGGCGCGACCCCTCCCTCTCCCGCTCCACGCCGCCCACTCCCGCCTCCTCGCCCGATTCCGACACGCCATCCTCCCCGAGTCCGCCTCCCCGCTACACTCCTCGCCGCCCGGCCACCCTCCCGCCGGCCTCGCGCTCGGGTCGATCGCCTGCGACCTCGGAGCCCCCTGGTTCTGCTCGCGGGGACACCCCGTAAGCCTCCTCCCGATCGATGCTCCCGCCGGCGGGGCGCCGACGCAGGAGGCCGCGTTCTACCGGCCCAGCCACGCCGCGCGGGTCATCGCCGCGATCGACGCGCTGAGCAGCGCCGCGAGAGAGGAGATGCTCGATTTGGTGGCCGCCTCCACGCGATTGGCGCGGCGGGTGTGCAGGGTTTACGGCGCCTGGATGGGTCCCGTGGCGGCAACGCTGTGGCTGGTCTCTGAACGGTACACGCCGGGAGTTCCCCCCTTGTTGAATGAGAGGAGCGACGAGCTGGAAACTGTGGCTCGGATTGGAGCTTTTGGAATGGAGGTGTGTGAAGCGCTCATGGGATTGCACGGCGAGGGGCTGGTGCTGGGTTGCCTCCGGCTGGACTGCTTCAGCCTTGATCATTTTGGGCGCTGCCTGCTCGACTTGAATGAGGTTTTGGCCTTGTGCCGTGGAGTCCGGGCAGGGGTTTGCTTGTCCAAGGATGGTGCTTTGGTTGCTCCCGAGATGGTGGCAATTCTGAGGGACGCCACAAGGATGAGGAGTCATGATTTCGATGGCTTGATAGGGCGTAATTCAGATGTTTGGCTGATGGGCTGTATATTGGTGGCGCTTGTTACTGGAGACGAGCGGCTTGCGGCGGGGTGGAATACTGTTGGATCATATGATGATTGGCAGAAGGAAGTGCTTACGAGGCTTGACGCTGCATTGGTTGGTACACAGTTAGAACCATTGGCTGCAACTACAGCGTTATGCTTAAGCTATGAACCAGAAAGCCGCCCTGAGATTGCTGATGTTTGGAAATGTATCAGAGGCTCACAGATGAAACCTGGTGCCGATGCTTTGGCTCCTGCTGATGATATTGTAGCTCAGAAAAGTTTTAGGTGTTTGCTCCTCGGGGAGTTGTCCTCAATGTGCTCCGCCCAAGCTGTTGAGTCAGATGATATAGTGCAGCCCTCTCAAGATTCTGATGACAAAAGTTCAACTCCAGATGATGAAAACAATTGTGGTTGCTCGAACGACGAGTCTGTTTCCACAGCAGGAACAGATGAGCCACAGCGTAACGGAGTGTTTAAATCTTCAACTCTGCTCGCTCACCGTGACTGCGTCACAGGATTAGCCATTGGAGGTATAAACACAACATGGCCAGTGTACTGTGTACATAGTACACTGTTTCATTATTGGAGGCATACCCTATCATGCCATAATTTATTAAAACCATGCAAAACATTTTGATCTGGGCACCGATGCAATATGAAAATTCTGGAAAGAAATGATACTTAGGTTTATGATTTTTTTTTGAACAATCACCCGGGGGAGGGGGGGAGAATCCCCACAGGTCTATGGACTGTTATAGTACCCTTCAAAATTTCAACTTGAAACTCAAATTGTGTTACAAGAAAACGTGTATAATTCTTTGAATGGAACTTCCATTTTGCTCAGTTTTTGTTCTCTGTTATTATGTCATTTGTCAGTTTTTTTTTTCATTTTCATATCTTTGGACATAGATTATACTCCCTCTGTAAAGTAATATAAGACGTTTTATAGATCACCACTTGGTGATCTATAAAACGTCTTATATTACTTTACAGAGGGAGTAATTTGAAATTTCATAGTGTGTTGAGAAATACATCTTACAGTTATTTTTTGCTGAATTTTTCATATTCAATTTATGCCGAAACCAAAATGAAATGCATAACTTGACCTTTCTATTATTTTGCAGTTTGTGCTCGATAGCTCACTTCATAGTCTGACGTCTTACTTACTAGGGTTTTACTATGTTTTTATCTGTTGTGCTATGTTATTTTGTTTCTGTCCATGTGGTCATCGCTCACCTTACCATGCTAGTGGATCTTCCTAATGCCTTTGACCACTATCATGACTCAAGTAATCTGTGTTAATGAATCTTTACTGCATTGCAGGGGGATTTTTGTTTAGTTCTTCTTACGACAAAACAATCAATGTATGGTCGCTGCAGGTATGAAACTGTCGGTGTACCCTCTTCTCTTGACGAGCTGTTAACTGTGTGATGCTCTTCTTGTAATGAGAAATCTCAGTGGCATACAGCAAACACATCCATTACAATAGAACACATAAGCTTTCTGTTGCCCATTTTTTTCTGACTTGACTTCCTTCTACAGGACTTCTCTCATGTGCAGACTTTAAAGGGTCATGAGCACAAAATCACAGCAATTGTTGTTATCGACAATGATAACCAGTCTCTTTGTATAAGCGGAGACAGTGGCAGTGGAATTTTTGTCTGGCGTGTTGGTACCTCTCTCAAGCAAGAACCGTTGAATAAATGGTATGAAACTAATGATTGGATCTACCGGGGTGTTCACTGTTTGGCTGTGTCTGGAACCGGTCATCTTTATACTGGCAGTAGAGACAAATCTATTAAAGCTTGGTCTCTGGAGGTAAAGATGCTAAGCTGATTTGCTTTTTCAGTGCCACATTGAAACAGGGTGGTTGGTTGGGCTGTATTAAAATTATAGACAATGGGACTAAGGTTTGTTCTACATTTAGACTGCAAAATGATTTCCTCTTCTATTGGATTATCTAGTCTTTGTCTGAATAATGGGCCTGTATCTTTTGGCATTAATAAAGCTGTTGAATCTGCCAAACCATTTTGGTAATTTAAGATGTTATGAGTTAATTCATTCACAATCTCTCTTTGGCAGGATTATTCACTTCGATGCACTATGACAGGCCACAAATCAACCGTGTCTTGCCTTGCAGTTGCTAGCGGTATTCTTTACAGTGGAAGTTGGGATGGTAGTATTCGATCATGGTGGCTTACTGATCACAGCCCGTTGTCTGTACTTGAAGATGATGCACCGGGAAGCATAGCCCCTGTGTTGTCAATTTCAACAGAAGCTAATTTTGTTGTTTCATCATATGAAAATGGCTGTTTGAAGGTTTCACTATATCTCAATCATTAATCGTGTTATAGATTAACTGCATGTTGTGTTATAATGTTTGCTTACAATCTTTTGTAACGCATGTTTTTTTTTTGAATAATCACATGCTAAATTAGGGTTATTTTATAAATTAGATTTGGAAGGATGATGTCCTCGTTAAATCAGAGAAACTTCAAAGTGCTTCTATTTACGCTGTTAAATTGAATGGTAAATGGCTCTATACTGGTGGATTGAATAAAGCCGTAAATATTCAGGTCTGTATTTCTGACACATACTTGGTGCCCTTGGAGCTTTTCAGAAATGACCTTGAAGCTTCTCCATTGCTAACATATTATTTGTTGCCTTGCATTTTTCTTTTTGGTCAACTCTTCTATAGGAGTTATTAGAAGACGAGTCAGAGTTGGAAATCAGAGATGTCGCTTCCATCTCTTGTGATTCAATTGTAACTTCAATATTGTACTGGGATGAAAAGCTCATAGTTGGACTCTCTAACAGGGAAATTAAGGTATAGATGACTCCCCTTTGTTATACATTCATACATCATTTCGTTTGCATGTTATTCTAGCTTCTTGTTCTACGTAATTTAAAGGTGCACTCAGGAGGACGTGCTCCCTGGTGAAAAGATGCTTATGTTCCACTTGTTATACCTTTTTTTGAAAAAGTTATTACACATAAGTTTTTGAGTCCTTTATGTGATGTCAAATTTCATGGAAAAATTATCAGTTTTGCAACTTGTGTAAGAAAAGGTTTAATGTTCAAAAATTGCATTGTAGAGCCCTGAAATTTGGTTTTTGTCTAGAGTGCGAAAATGCTAGTTTTGCCCAAGTAAATTATGCAAACATTTACTACCTCCGTCCGGAAATATTTGTCGGAGAAATGGATGTATCTAGACGTATTTTAGTTCTAGATACATCTATTTTTATCCATTTCCGCGACAAGTAATTCCGGATGGAGGGAGTACATGTGTAATTTTTTTGGAATTGCCTGACACGTATGGATTTACTGGTCATCGCGAGAGCACATGCTAGGAGCCATTTTACATGTGTAAACTTTAATGTTTGTTGCGTCACTTATTTTACATTGTTACTTTGTACAGGCCAATCCACAACAGTTATTACTTGCACAATGCTAGCCACTAACTTTTCCTCTAGGGAAACAATAACTTCTCATCAACTTCCATGTCAAATAAAAAACCCAGGGTTCGGTTTCTGAAATGAATGATCAGTGCATGTTTGAGATTGTAGTTCTATCTGTTTACAACTTCATAGTACATGAATGGAACGAGCATTCTAGTACTTTAAAGCTTATAAACAACTAAATGCTGCTGCTTTTCATATTTCATCAGGTTTACGACAAGGGTTCTTAG